CACAAAAGAAACCTTAGAGGACTGCTTTTTTGATGTTTGTCAAATAAAAAAGGCATCAAACAAAAAGTATCAAACTTACATTGTAAGAACAAAGTGAACATTAAATAGCATAAATTGGATTTACTTCTTCTGATTCAGAATCAGAAAGACGCCATGACTGTGTCCTATTCCTTGAGATCTTCTCTTCTTCTTCTCACTCTTCGATGACGTTTGGATTTGACAACATAGTATGTCATTGTACCAAGAACACCACCCATTACAATTGCCCCTACAACAGTAACAAGGATTGCAGCCCATTGACTGCGCCGACCAACTACTATATAAGATGCTTGCAATGAAGGAAACTGAGGTGCAGACAGAGGCTAACCACATCATCTTATTGATCACCTCCACAACCTTCCGCTCGGACTTTATCTCCCCTCTAACAACTGTTATTTGAACCACCACCACGGCCAATGAAGTGAAAAGTGCAATGGCATTAGAGAGGAAAAAGGTCTTGAAAGATGCAGTGTGCACCATCACAGCCATCCCATGAGAATCATCCCCGCCGGGGACCGTGAAAAAGTGCTGCAAATGCAACTGTTGCAAATAGCACAGAAACCACAGTTACAGAGTTGGTGGCATTGTTGATTCCTGCTCTGTGCAACTTGCGTAGTTCATTGGCAATACCGTTCACATTTTTGTTTGTTTTTTCGTGTTTGTTCAAGCTGCAAAGAAACATCCTTCCTAATCTGTGTCATGGTTTTCCCCGTAACTCGTCCCTTGGCTGGTTGAGATCATTGGCTTTAACACTGCACCGTAACGAATAAGGAGAATCCTTTATCTCCAAAATTTCCTCAGATATTGGAAGTGCTTCTGCAAAATCAAGAGCTGTTTTGTTCTCATCTTGTAAGGGGCATTCACATTGGTGTCAGGAAGAAGCAAACAACTCATTCACTATCTGCATGAATTATGGTGAGTCATAACTACTTCGCTCTTCAAATTAAAATCAGACGTGACATATTTCTCAAAGTAAAGTCATTATTGCATATATAAAAACTATAGGATAGATATATAAATAGTGAACTCCTCATAGTTTTACAGTCATACTTTGTGTATGTATCATATCATTGTATAAAGTTGAGCAGCCACGAGATTACCTCTACCCCTCTTCTTCCTGGTAGCTACATGCAATGCGGTGTTGCCAAACTTGTCAGGAAGCATGACACTTGCAGCGTCAGCAGCAAGAAGCAACTTCACCACTTCACAGTTAACCCATTCCTTTGACAGCCATATGAAGCGGAGTTTGTCCTTTCTTATCAGTCCTTCGAGCAAGCTGCGGGTCCTTCCCTAGCAAAATCTTGACGACATCAACATAACCTTGACAGCGCAGCTAAATGGAGTGCATTCTTTCCATTGGATCTAGATATCTCCAACTGACTAGGATCACATGATAGTAAAAGTTTAAACAAACATCTGCATACCCTCTTGTAGCCGCAGATATAAGAGGAGTTGCATTTGACTGTGCAACTGTCTTGATTAGCCCAGGATCAAAGTCTAGCAGCAACTCCACAATATCTGTCACAACACAACAATATATAACAACGGTGTCTAAAGGAGCAACTAAACAATCAATAACAAAACCATAATCTGTCTCATAGATAAACAACTTAATTAAACCCTTATCAAATGAGTGCTTATGTATAATAATATCAAATAAACTGTTTTTTTTTACATAACTTACAAAGTTGTTTTCATAAATTACCCTGAAAAAAAAGGTGTAGCACCAATCCCTCTCTGTCTCGACATTATGTTTAATTTATTCATTTTTTCCAAATTATTAGTAGTGTCAATGTGTCAGTGTCAGTGTGTGTTTCTGGTGTCCGAGCTTGATAGATTGTAAGTATACCTTTGTAACCCTGGTTTGCTGCAATGTGCAAGGCATCAAAGCCAGAGCGATTTTTGAAAGAAAGAGCCTCTCTGGTGGTATAAGGGAGAAGCTCTTTGACGACATCGAACTGACCTTTATCCGCGGCGGTGAACAGAGCGGTTTCAACCACCCAACTCATTGACCTCGTTAACCAATAGCAGCCCTTATATCAGCAACCCTCGGCATCAAACTCGGCTCCACTTAGGGTTCCGGTCATCTGATCATCAATCTCAGCGAGAATCTCTGCCTAACCCGCCGCAGCATCGCCGCGTTGCGCGGCGAGGTGAAGCTCGGTGTCATTATTGCCGACCGGTAACCTGTTTTGACATACTTACTTTTCCTTGCTATTGATGTTATCGAGGCGTTTGCCAGAATTGGAAATGACGAGGTTTTTGTTGGAGTTGGAAACGACACAGAGCCTTGCCGGAAGCGGAGAGGAAGAGGGTGGGTCTTGGGGTGGTTGGGGTGGCGGGTTCAGAAGGAGGGTTGAGATGTTCCATGAGTGGCCGCCGTGGTGGAAGGAAGCGGAACTACGGTGGGGATTGGATTGGGATTGGGATTCGGGTGCCCCCATTCCAAAATCCTCGACGACAATGCAAGACGACCAATCCCTCTGGTTTTGATCTGCACCATTAGCGGAATCTCCTTCACAATTATCGTTGGTTTCTTTGTTCCTCCCCTCACAATTTCATTTCATATAATCTTTATTTATACTATCTATTATTATTATTTTTCAAAACTTTATTCTTCTATCATTTATTAATAAACTTAATATGATATTTTTATTACTACATAATTAAAAGAAAATTAAACTATAATGTCTTTGTTTTATTAAATTCATTTTGATTTTAAAATATTCATGGTTATGGTTTTCTTTTGGGTGAAAGATTTGATTTCCCTCCTTTGAGGACCAATGAAAGGTATTATAGTTCTTCACTTAGAAACATGAAGTATTAGTAAATCGAAATTATTTCTCCTAAAATCATGGAGAAATATGTTTTTTTTTTTTTTTCTTTTACGATTTTTTCTCTTTTATTAACTTCTTCTAAACTCGTTGGTGTAGGAACATATCATTACACATGTTCACTAAGAAGATGGTCATTAAATCACTTTGAGTGTCTCAAGTCTAATATGGGCGACTTACGCTATACCATGGACAATATGGCGATAATGAGATACCTGCCCAACGCCAGTGACTTTGACTTTACTTTGTTCCCTTATGGACCGTGTCTTTTTAGGCATAATAAAATTATCTCAGTACAAAACACTCAAGCACAAGAACTTGTAAAAGGCGAAGTGATTTAATTTGAATGCTTTGATATTTCACATGCCCACAACAGGAGTTGTCATGGTTCTCCTCGCCTGGTTCAACCCTCTGGGAAGAGACTTTTTAAGTCTCGTACCTCAAGCAAGACTTTTAAGTTAAGTCCCTCAAACAAGACTTTTAAGTCGATTCCCTCTAACAAGACTTTTATGTTGAGTCTCTCATGTAAGACTTATAAGTCGTGTCTCTCATGCGAGACTTTTAAGTCGATCCCCTCAAGTATTGCATGAGGCGGGTTCAATTTTTGTGTTATCCTTCGTTATTTGTATTCTTTCCCTTTGTGAAATTTTTATCGAGGTTTTTTTTCTTTCATGAATATGTTCCTGTCTTCGGCATTTTATTTGTGAAATTCTTATCGTTGCAACTTTCATGTTATTCATAGTGATTCCACCTAGTCCTATTGGCATGTTTCACCTCAGGAATCCTCTTTAAGGATCCACCATTCATATTTCATCTAAGGACAACAATGAGTCCTCTTTGTGGATCTAACATTTGTATTGTCTACGAGGACGATAAGGATTTCTCTTTGAGGATTCAACATTCATATTGTCTCTGAAGACGGTAAGGATTCCTCTTTGAAGATCCAACATTCATATTTTTAATCTCATCATTCTTGGGTTTTTTAAGATGGGGTGCCCCATTTTAAGGGTCTTTCGCTTTATGGAAGGATGCTACCCTGCTTCGGATGTTTAAAAGCAAGATATTTTCAAGAAAGTTTATACATTGGTGGGCTAAATGCCTCTCGCCTTATTGAATAGAAATTGTAAATAACTAATTATAATAATATCTCAAGTTAACTGAGTTCCACGTCCTAGGGATGAGTCTTCATCCAGCTCTTCGAGTTTGTAGGTGCCATGAGGTGATTTTTGACATACGAAATATGGACATTCCTAATTAGGTTACAAGCTTCCCCCAAATGAGTTGGTACGACAACCTTCCCGAGCACAAGGTCGCCTTCCTATATTTATATTGGGACCACCTTTGGAGTTCTACCTTCTGGAAAGCCCTTTGTTTTGTGGAAAATTCTCCAATCTTAGTGATGTCACGGATTTCATTGATTTAGGTCAGTTGTGCATGTAATTCTTGCCTTATTTTCCACTTCATTGAACTGACTACACCTTCATGTGGGCGTTTCGATTTCGATCGAAAGCATAGTTTCAGAAATGTATACCATTGTGAATGGAGTTTCTTTGGTAGTTAAATAAGGAATGGTGTGATATACGGCAACAATACTTCGTGGAGTTGTTTTGGTCCACTTCCCCTTTAGTGTCATCCACCACTTTTTCTTTATTCCGCCCCATAGCACCTCATTCTTCGACTCGTATTCCTCGTTTGCTTATGAGTGAACAACCGGAAATAAACTTCATTTGTATCCCTAGGTCTTGGAAAAAATCGACCACAGTTGAGCTAGTAAATTGTGTGCCATTATTTGAGATGATGACTCTTGGTAAACCAAACCTACATATGATATACCGCCAATATAAGTGGCAAACTCTTTCTACAATAATTTTAGAGACACCATCCTCATACCCACTTTGTGAAGTAGTCTACTACAATAATTAGTAACTTCACTTAGCTAGGCACCAACAGAGAAGGACCTCGTATGCCCACGCCACATTGGTGAAATGGCCATGGTGTTGTGATACAATAAAGATTTTTAGAAGGTGTGTGATGTAGGTTAGAGTGTTTCTTGCATTTGTCACGTATTTTGACTAATTATATGTTATCCTTTATCAATGTGGGTCAATAAATAACTCGTCCTATGCAGTTTGTAAGAAAGGGATCACCACCAATATGACTACTGAATGTTCCTTGGTAGACCTATGGGAGGACCAAGGCAATTTTGATCTCTCATAGATATCTCAGCATGACAGAGACACTTCTCATCTTATAGATCTTCCTAGACATCATGGTGTGTTTCACTGCTCATTTTGGATCTTCTTTTATTCCAGCTCGTCTTATGGAGTTTGTTAAATAATATATAATGTATTATAGGCATTATTCAACTAGTGGTTTGGGCGACTTGAAGAGTATTGGTTTCTTCCGCCTCAATATTGGGGCAGTCATTGTTTATTGGATGATCGTTTGGTTATAACCAGATCCTTTAGTGTTGACAAGCATGGAGAGAAGATCACTTCTGAAGTTTTGTTCTCTATGTACGTATGTTATCTCAAAAAATTTGAAATGTTAAGATAATTAAAGTACATTTTTCAGATATTTCATAAGTTGGAGCTTATTTTCATGATACTCCCTGACGATCTGATTCTCCACCAATTGTGAGTCTATCCTGGCCTTGAGGCTTAAAGCGCCCATTTTTAGGGCGACGACCATGTAGATGATGAGGGCTTCATACTCAACTTAGTTGTCGTTAGATTTAAACTCAAACTTCAAGAACTACTTTATTATGTGGATGTTTGGTCCCTCTAGCACTATTTTAATGCCACTTCGTTTCATGTTTGAGGCGTAACCCACCAATAATATCCATGTGGGGGAGCATCCCACCTACTAGCAAGTTGAACTTTTTCAGAAAGTCATCCATCACTTGTGATTTGATGCTCCCTTTGGGTATGTATTTCATATCTTACTTAGATAACTCCATTAATCAAGATATGATGTTTCTCGCAAGGTTCGATTTCTTTAAAACCTCGTGAATGAGATAATTGGTCTTTACCGTGACACGATGCAGTTAGGAGTATGGTCTGAACTTCCTCGTATTTATCACAGCTGCCAAAGCTAGTCTCTCGATCTTATAGTACTTGGCCTCAATGTGTTTGAAAACTTTGCTCATGAAATAAATGGGTTGCTCAACTTTGTTTTTCTCTTGGACGGGCACCAAGCTCATCATATGATTAGTAACTGATAGATATAGATATAGAGGTGCTTCAGCCTTTAAGCGTGTCAATATGGGTGGTGTCTTCGTGAAGACCTTCAAATTGGTGAATGCCTCATCACACTCACTCGTCTATTCAAATTTCCCCCTTTTTTAAAGTGGCAAAGAAATGGAATGCCTTGTCGCATGCACGAGAATGAAAATGGGTTAGGGCAGCTAAGCACCTAGCTATTTGTTTAACCTCTTTAATATTGGAAGAGTTCCTCATGTTTATCATAACTAGGCACTTTTCTAGATTCACCTTTATTCCTCTCTTGGTCACCATAAATCCTAGGAATTTACTCACCTCTACGCCAAAAGAGTACTTGGTGGGGTTTAAGCGCGTGTTATACCTCCTAATCTACTTAAGGATGTCTTTCAAGTTTGTACAATGGCTTTCCCCCTACGAATTATTCACAATCATATCATTGATGTATACCTCTATTTTCTACCAATTTGTTTTAAGAATATTGCATCCATTAACCTCTGATATATGGTGTATGCATTCTTCAGTCTAAAGTACATGACATTATAATAGTAATTACCATAGTTATACATGAACATTTTTTGAGCATGTCCACATGATCCATATTTATCTGATTCTAGCCCGAGTAAGTGTCCATGAAGCTCAAGGTTTTGTAGCCTGAGAATCCGTTGATCAGCTGGTCAATATTGGGTAGTGGGTGTGGATCCTTAGGGCATGCATCATTAAAATGATGGAAATCAATGCACATGCGCCATTTGTTCGATGACTTTCGAACCAAGACCATGTTATCCACCCAGGTTAGATACTTAACCTCAAGTATGGAGCGTCTTCTCTTCAATTTCTCAACCTCCTCATCAACCACCGCCCGATTTTCCTCTCTTACTTTGCACTTTCTTTGATACAATGGCTTCAAGGTGGAGTCAACAACGACGAGATGACACACCACTCTAGCGTTTATTC